GACCGTGAACGGCTGGGTTCTGCAGTTCTACTTCCACCGCGCTATAGAGGCCTATCGCTCCGGCCGTAACCGTGATTTCCGCCAGTTCCGCGACATCATGCAAGGTGCGCGGGGCGGGGCCGGGGAGCGGCGGGGCCTCCAGCCCGGGCTGCTCCGGCCTGACCAGCCGTTTGTCCCGCAGCGCTGCTCGTGCGGCCCCTGGACAGGGAGCCGGAGATGGCCCAGATGCTCCGGATAATGCAGCTGCTGTCTCGGGTCGAGGAGGGCGAGAACCTCGGTAGGTGCCCAGTCCTTCCTGCGAGCTCTGGGGACCCCCGGTACTGCTTGCATCCCGCTCCCTCCTCCCCCTGTCCTGTGTCCGTGTCCCTGCAGCTCCCGGAGCTTTGTCCCTGCTTAGAGCTGGGGTTCTGGGGGTGTCCCTGCGGGTGAGGGGTCGCTGTTCGTATCTGTCTCACTGTGCGGCAAGAGCAGCGTCTGTGGCAGCCCGAGGCTGCCGTGTTGGACAGACACATCACCCTGGTGACTCCTGCTTAGCCTCAGCTTCCAAAACGCTCCTCTAGGTCAGTGCTGGGCACCTGGGAAATTATGGAGTGCTGCTTCTGTAATTTCCTGTTGCTGCTGGGGGGCAGGAATTGCAGTTCAAACACTTGGCAGTGCTTGGTGGCTGTGGAATTTGGAATTTGTGGTGCACCTGTGTGGGTGGACGGCTGCCACCTGTGCAGGTGAATAACCAGCTCTCCGTAGGGAAGCGCCGTGACCCCCCAACAAAAGTGTGGATGCCAATTCTTATAGATTGCACCTTCGACAAGGAGTCAGAGCTGACCCCACTGGAGTCGGCCATGCTCGTCCTGGACTTCATCCGTGAGGAATTCTCTGTGGCCGACAGGACGATGGAGGCTGTGCAGAAAATGGTGAAGGAAGCTGTAAGATCTTTTTCTTTCTCAGTGAATATGTTGTGCAGCTTTTGCCCCTGGAAAGGCTGTGTGTGGGTGATGGTGGGAGCCACCTCACGTGCAGAATTCCCTTGTTATCTACAAATGCATTCCTGCAGTGATGTGGGAGTTCTGCATGGAAGTTGGCCCTGAGTTGTTCCCTGCTTCAATCTATCCTTGATTTCCTTTGTAGGCTGTGGTTGTTTGTATCAGAAACAAGGAGTTTGAAAAAGCTTCCGATATCGTCAAGAAGCACATAGGGAAGGAGCCCAGAAACCAAGTGAGTCCATGCTGGAATGAGGTGGGAGCTGCTGGTGTGTCTGATGTGTCCTTGGGGTGAGGAGGCCAGAATGGAAGCAATCCTCCTGGAGTGCTGGTCCCTCAGTGTTGCACGTTTGGATTGTCACCTTGAAGCCCCTCTGTCACTCACCTGTCCTCACACACCTCCACGGGCCTTCCAGGCATCACCATTTATCCCTTGATGAGCCTCCAGCTCACCTTCAGAGCAGGTTCTGGGAGCAGCAGCAGTTCCCATTCCTGTTCTGCAGGCACTGGGGTGCTTGGGCACTGCAGGCAAGGACAATCCCTGAAATAAGGTAGTTCTGCTCCTTGGTTGCTCTCCTGATCCTCTGGCCTTTTCCCAGCCTCAGCTCAGTGTAGATTGGTTGTGCCTGGAGGATGCCAAACAGGAAAGGCCCAGTCCTTGCCCACATCCAGGCTGTGGCTGTCACTGATTCCCTTGTCCCTGCCCAGAGTGTTCTCACCTGATCTTATCAATCCCTCCTCTAGAAGAAGAGGAATGAGTGGCTGGCTGTCATCCGGGAGAAGAACCCCTCTCATCCAAAGGTCAAAAACTTCTCCTACGAGGACTTCCAGCAGAGCATCTTTGAGTTCCTGAAGGGCTACGTGGACGACTCGGAGCCAGCGCTGCTGACGGTGCGTGTCCACCCCTCTGCCCCGGGGATCAGGTGCCTGATTACAGCAGGCTAAACCTGGAACACGCTAAACTCAGACCATTCCTAAGATGTTTATATGGTCAAACACCTTTTTCAATCCATGAAATGCCTTTGGGAGGGGATAAAGTGGAATGGGAGCATGAGGAATCATCTTTGTAACGGTGCTGTGCTTTTTCTTTCTCCAAGTTACTGAAAAGGACCTTGAATTCAGAACACGCTGACAAAGCAAGATCCTCACTAGGGACTTGTGAGTTTGCAGATGGGCTGAAGGACCAGGCAGCAGCTCCGGAGGCCACAGGAAGGGCAGAGGGCCCAGCCAGAGCTCCAGAGGCCTTGGGAAGGGCAGAGGGCCCAGCCGGAGCTCCAGAGGCCTTGGGAAGGGCAGAGGGCCCAGCCAGAGCTCCAGAGGCCTCAGGAAGGGCAGAGGGCCCAGCCAGAGCTCCTGAGCTTGCAAGGGCAACAGAAGACCTGGAGGGAGCTGCCAGGCCTGCAGAAAGGGCAGCTGATCCCACGGCAGCTCCAGAGATGGTGGCAGAAGCCAATGGCCCAGCAGCAACTGTGGAACCTATGGAAGTAGTCAGTGACCCAGCAGCAACACCTGAACATTTAACAGCAGCATATGACATCCTGCAGGGCACTCCAGAGCCTATGGAAATAGCTAAAGAACCAGCAGCAGCAACCCCAGAACTCCCCAGAGTGTCCACCAGGGAATCACAAAGGTGGGCAGAGGAGTCTGGCCTTAGACTGTGGATGCAGTGTGGCCACAAGTTCTCTTCCAAGGGGTAATCCCCTGTGTCCAGGCAGCTCCTAATTCCCCAAATGCCTGCCCAGGCCAGCCCAAAGGTGTTGGTGCAGGACTGTGGACCCCGGGAAAGGTGTTGTGGTGGTTTGGTTCAGTTGCTGGCAGGAGGTGCTGCTGTGACCAGGGAGGGGGCGGTGGCTGCTCTGGTGGAGCAGGTGGAACAGCAGGAGGCAGTGGAGCCTGAATGTGTGCTGTCCATCCCCGCTTCCCGGGGCACCGTGCCGTTTGGGAGGGAGGACTGCAGGCTTGGGAATGCCCTCTGCTGTAGGTCTGCACTGCGGGGCAGGAGCTGGGGGTGCCCGTGGAGGGGAAGGCTGGATGTGGGGGCAGCAGAGCTCCCTCAGCGCTTTCCCTACAAGCCGCTTGGTTGTGTTTATTTTATAGGCAGCCCCCCGGAGCTGTAACCTCGTACGGCATTTCTGTTCTGAGAGAAGCTTTCAAGATCCTGTCGGACTCCAGGGACTCGGACACCCTTTTCACCAAACTGGATGAAACAGACTTGCCTTCCCCCAAGCAACTGTCTCCTTCTGTATCCCACAGAACCAAGAGATGCAGAGAAGCGGAGAATCAAGCTTCTGAGACCTCAGAGCCTCCTGAAATACCCCATAAGATCAAAAACTTGTTCAGCATAAGCAATCTGATCGTGGATTTGGACGGCTCATCCAGCAAGTCGAGCGAGTGCCCCGACTCCTCCCAGGAGCACGTGGTCTCTTCCGCTTCCAAACCTGCTCTGAAATTGCCTGATGAGCCCTTGTCTGCCCCGAGTGAGAAGTATGAAGCCCCTCTCGTGTGCTATTGTCTGCTCTGCCCCATCCTGTCTTGCTGATGTTGGTAGCCTGAGCACCAAACCCTTGCCCTGTGTCCCAGGAGGAGTGCTGACCTCATTCCCACGTGGAACTGGGCACAGCAAACTCTCTCTTGTCCATGTCTGGCTTTAAATTTAATTATGGGTTAATGGACAGGAGAAAATTACCAGGTCTTGCTGATAGTGAGGTGCTGCAGCTGGTCCTGGCAGGTGATTCCAGTACAAGTAATGCCTGATTTTTCCACACTTCTCCCAGCTTCAGCATCACTGGCCAGAGTCTGTAGGAGCATCCTTCTCTTGCTTCCCACCTCTTGAGAAATACGGTGTCCAGAGGCTGGCCCTACTTGCTTGGTGGCCTTGCACCTGCTTCCCAAAAAACCTTTTCCTGGGCCAGTAGCCAAAGTAAAACCTCACCTAATTTCAGGTCCATCCAAGCAAGGTGGAACAGCTCCTGTGGCACGGAGGAGAAGGACAGCTGGAGTGACGAGGATGAGCTTTTTGCAAATGCAGGTATGAAAATTCCCCTGGCAGGGATTACCTGTGCTGATCCTGCCATGGGGGTCACCCACAGGGGTCTTGCTGCTGCCTGGGGGACTGAATTTTTGAAATCCCAATCCTGTGGAAAAGCTGGGATAAAGGAATTGGGGTGTATTGCCTGTCCCAGGGTGCTCTGACTGCACAGCTCAGCAGTTAAGCCCAAGGCAGCCTCTTAAGGAAGTCTGTACCTCCCAAATTATGGGAAATGTAACTCTCTCCCTTGTTTTCCAGCATTACTTGAGAAAAGCAATGTCTCCAAGAACTCCAGCTCCAAGAAACAGGTATGTGGAGCCTTAGGTGCTTCCAGCAGGCCCTGCAGTGGGGCAGTGTCCCTGCAGTCTCCATGGTGAAACAGGCTGGAGCTGTGTCCTGCAGGGCACTGGGAATGTGCCTCAGTTCCCTTTGTCTTGATGGCTCAGAGCAAGGTTTGCCGAGTTCCCCTCATGCTGGAGTGTTCAGAGTCTTGTTCAGGTGAGGGACACACATCTGGCAGCTGCTAACCAGGAGCAGGCCCCACTTTGGTGCCACCAGGAATGCTCCTCCTGACCCGTAGGAAGGCAGCTGCTGCACCACATCTGCAGTGCTGGAGTGTTGTCTGCAGCTGCCAGGACCTGTCTGCCTTCCCTGCTGTTCCTGGCACGGGTGGTGAGGGAAGGAATCGGCAGCAGGCTCTCTGCTGTGCAGCTCCTCCCTGCAGCTGCTTCCTTGCTCTTTGCAGAAATGGACCATGCAGGAGAGCGAGTGGATCAAGGAAGGGGTGAAGAAGTACGGAGAAGGGAGGTGGAAAGCCATTTGCCTCAAGTACCCCTTCGAGAACCGCACCCCAGTGATGATCAAGGACCGCTGGCGGACCATGAAGAAACTGGGAATCCTCTGAAGTTGGGAGCCACGGGAGATCCTTTTTCTTTTTTTTTGGACCTCGGTTTGTTTTTTGGAAGCTGGACCAGAAAGCTGTCTGTGCCAGTGTGGGCTGCCCCTCTGACACCAAAACCATGACTGCCAGGAACCCGGGAGCCTTGTGCTCCAGCTGTGTCTGCAAAGATCAGTGTGCTGCAGGTGGCAGGGGCTCTGATGCCTCTCTACATAAATTTAGAACCACCTGTATTGAGACTTCCTTGTCCACCTGACCACTGCAGACTCTGGAATGAATCCCAGGTGTTTGCTCTGCTCAGGTGTGATCAGCAGGGTGATCTCATAGGTGGAATTTTTTTGTGTTGTCTGTTCTGTGAATCACTTGTTTCATGTTTGCCACCACTCCCTTGTGGAAGAGAGGCAGCACTGACTCCCAGAGCTTCTCTGGGGAAGAGATCCAGGTACTTGGAATCTTCTTTTTTTCCCCCATTAATTTCTGCTTTGTAAATTACTAATCTGTGGGGAGCAATTCCTCCCTCCCAGCTGTGAGGCTTTAGAAAGCCAATTACTTTGTGTTTCTGTACCTGGACCTGTTTGTTCCCAAGCTAAAAACTTCAGATGTGTCTGACTTTGGTCATGTTTTCTTTGCACTTTTCCTGGTAATATCCTTGCTGTATATGAGCTACAAGGCTGCCACATGTTCCTGCCTTCAAGTGCCAAAGCTGGAACAGTCATTTGTAAAATAAAGTTTTTGTGTAATAGCAAGAGTTGTGAAAGTGTAATTTCTACCTCGTGGGTGGAAATGCAGCAGAGGGACAAGGGCTGCTTTCCCTTCCCCTCTGTGAGTGTTGGGTCAGGAGCAGCACTGCCCTGGAGCTGTGACATGCCAGTGTAAATGGGAAACAGGAGCTTCTGCATTAGATTCCTGTGGAAAAAGCTCAGGGCTGATAAAGGGGCACTTTCTAAACTTAGAAACTAAGTTTCTCTTGGCTGCCTTCCAGCAAAGCCAGGGCTGGGAGAAGTCTTGTCTAGGAACAGCTGCTTCCCCCTTTGTCCTTCAGCTGCAGGTGCTGCCGTCCCCTGGCCATGCATTTTCCTCCCCTTCTGTCGATCCTTTCCCTGGAGAGCCCAGGGCAGCAGGAGCACCAGGTCAGGGCTGTGGGCCACTACCGGCCCTGGCGAGGCAATGCCAGTTGGTGGTGGCAGGAGCTGTGTCCTGCTCCTGCCCTCTCCATGGCAGGCTGCTGCCCTGAGAGCACAGGGTGTCCGAGCTGCAGGCTCCCCTCCATCCCTGGCAGCACAGGGTGTCCGAGCTGCAGGCTCCCCTGAGAGCACAGGGTGTCTGAGCTGCAGGCTGCCCTCCATCCCTGAGGCAGCAGAGGGTGTCTGAGCTGCAGGCTCCCCGGAGCCCTGGCTGCCTGGCAGCGTGGTTAATGATTGATTACCCCCCGTGCCCCGTCCTGCGCTGCCCTGCCCGGGGAGCGAGTGCTGGAGCCCAGGGAAGCAGGAGGATGCTGCTGCTGCTGCTGCTGGCGCTGCTGGGCCCCGCTGGCTGCCCCAGGACAGAGCCCCTGAGCGGCTCCAGCCAGGAGCCGCTGTTCCGCGGCGCCGATCGCTACGACTTTGCCATCGTCGTCCCTGCCGGCACCGTGGAGTGTTTCTGGCAGTTCTCACACCAGGGCGGCAACTTCTTCTTCAGCTACGAGGTGAGTGCTGGGGACGTGTCCTGGGAACGGCTGTGCTGGATCCATCCCTGCTGCTCCTGTGCCTTTCTAAAGCAGCATCGTGGAACAGTTTGGGTTGGAGGGATCTTAAAGACTCGTTTCCTTCCAGCCCCTGCAGGGACAGGGACAAGGACACCTTCCACTATCCCAGGTTGCTCCAAGCCCTGTGCAGCCTGAGCGTTGACACTTGCAGGGATGGGGCAGCCACAGCTTCTGTGGGCACCCAGAGGGTCTCACCTCCCTCCCAGGGAAGAGTATCTTCCCAATATAATCAACCTAATCCCTATCCACCATCATTTTTTAAACTACCTGGTTTAAACCCATGAAGAGGTGCTGGGAGCTCCAGCATTGTTGGAAACTCTGCCCTCCGCTGCCTGGCCAGGGGCTGCGGCACAGCTGAAGGTCCTGGCACAGCCTGTTCCCGAGCTGTCCCCTTCCCACAGGGAAACTCCAGCCCTTTCATCTCCTGTTTACACTGGGCTGGCTGAAGGAAAGCCAGGACATAGCTGTGCCTGGCAGTGGCAGCTTCCCCCTGGCTCTGTGCTTTGCAGCCCCACAGCAACACATCCCCAGGGCTTGGCACAGCTCCCTCCCCAACAGTGACCCACAAATTCCCCTCACGGTGTTCCCTGCCTCCAGGTCCAGCGGGCAACAGGGATTGGCAACAGCAGGAGCATCCTGGTCACAGCGAGTGATCCCAACGGCTTCCAGCTTGGAGTGTCCCAGGACGTGCGAGGACAGATCAACTTCCTCACCAAGGACACAGGTTCCCCCAGTTCCTGCAGCAGCTCTGAGCCTGCCTGGCCAGGGCTCCCCCGAGTGCCCATTGCTCCTGCCAGGGGAGGATGAGGCTCGAGCCCTCAGGACGTGTCTGCCTGCTGTCCTTCCACCCAGGGACCAACAACCCCCTTCCCTCTGCAGGTTTCTACCAGCTCTGCCTGGACAACCAGCAAAACCACTTCGGCCTCATGCAGGTGTATCTCAACTTTGGCGTGTACTATGACGACTTCAACATGGAACACAAGCAGCCAGCAGAGAGGAAGGAGCTGAACGACACCCTGGAGGCAATTGGGGTGAGGGTCAGGGAGCCCAGAGGGTGCCCCAGCACAGCAGGGATGGCCATGTCCTGCCCAGGACACCAAACATTTGCTCAGGCTGAGCTCAGCACAGAGCCCCACGGGCAGCTCTGAGTGCGGCCCTGCCTCTCCTGCAGGTGAGCATCCAGAGGCTGCAGATCCACACCTTCCACATGTGGCGCTTCTACAACTTCGCCCGGATGCGGAAAGGGGCCGACTCCTTCCTCCTGGAGTCCAACTACAACTACGTCAACTGGTGGTCCCTGGCCCAGAGCTGTGCCATTGTCCTCTCCGGGGTGCTGCAGCTCTGCTTCCTCAAGCGCCTCTTCCACACACAAACCTCGGGCAGCCACAAGTGCTAGAACAGGGCAGGGACCCCCCTGCAGAGCCTGCCACTGTCCCACCACAGTCAGAGGAAATGCTGGATCCTGCTTCCAGGAGGAGGCTGCAGAGTTCCCCCTGCTCCTGCCTCATCTCTAGCCCTGACACCATCCTGAGAAAAGTCAAAGGCCACCCTGTCACCTGAGTTCTGTGTGGCTTTGTCACATTTCTATGATTTAATGGGCTTTTTCTACCAGACTCCCAATAAAAGAACCCCTGGCAAAGTCTGGGGAGCGACTGCTGCCTGCTGCTGCTATCCAGTCTCTGTGAGCTTAAACACTGCTGGGGCCCTCTCTCCCTCTCCCTCTCTCCTTCCTGAAGCTTATCCTCAGCCTCTGAGGTTCCCCCCAGTCTCATCAGTCCCCACACACACACCCCAGTGTCACATTCCCCCCAGGAGGGATAAGGACTGATTCCTCCTGGGTCTCCACACCAGAAAACAGGCACTGAAAAAAGGAACAGGCTTTATGTGACAGGGCTGGGGTCAGGTCCCCTCCTCCTGTGCTGGCAGCACCCCCTGAGGGCCCTGGGGCTCTGTGCTGGCAGCTCCCCACATCTCCAGCCCATTCCAGGTGGGCTTCCCGCACCCACAGTGCAGGACAACGTCCGTTCAACCCCGGAACACTCACAGAGCATGAGGGTCCCTGGGGTCCCCGAGGGTCCCTCATGTCAGCGTGTCCTCGTTCCGCACGTACTCCCCGACGTCGGCCTGGTGGAACACCACGATGGCCAAGGGGTCGACCTTCCTGCACTCCTGCGTGGACCTGGCAGCCACCCCGAAGCCCTGGGGGATGAGGGGAGGTGAGGGAGGTCGCCCACCTCGCGTCCCCCCAAGCCCCAGCCCCGGCCAGGCGCTCACCAGCGGCACGTCGGCCATGGAATACACCACGACACCCTGGTACTGCGCCGTGCTCTCCGTGATGCGGCCCAGCCCCGACTTCAGCACGTGGTTACCGTAGAGGAAGGACTGCTCGGAGCCCGGCTTCACCCACACCTTGTACTGCGAGAGAGGGGCAGAGCCGTGAGGGGCCGTGAGGGGCCGTGAGGGGCCGCTGCAGGCCGCCACCCACCTTGGCGTAGGGCGCCAGGAAATCCAGGGCCGTGACGCTGAGCCGGAACTTCTGGGACTTGGTGAACTTGCCGAAGCAGGTGCCCGGTGCCACCAGGCTCTCCCGGGGGATGCTGGCCGCCAGCTTCAGCAGCTTCTCACTGCGGGAGGGGAGCAGGGCA